GAACAGATCGACGCGTGGGCCCGTAAATACGCGGCCACGGAGTTCCACGTGTCGTGTACGGCTCGCATGGGCGTGGATGAGAACTCTGTTGTGGATCCTCAGACTCGTGTCCATGGACTGGAGGGTCTTCGCGTTGTGGACGCTTCTATCATGCCTAATATTGTGAGCGGCAACACAAATGCGCCTGTTATCATAATCGCCGAGAAGGCCGCTGACATGATTCTGGGTAAGCCTGCGTTGCCAAAGGCGAATGTGCCAGTGTATCAAGCGAAAAACTGGCAAGCCAGCCAGCGATAATTGTAAAATGTCGCTGCTCGACAAGTGCGACAACAAAGTCGCATGACATGCAAGTATTTAATACGTGCAAGTGCTATAATACTAGTACTATTAATCCTGGTAGTGCAACGAGTAGTACTGTAGTACCTACCGCCCTAAGGGATTACTTTAAAATTAAAATTATGTCACACACCAATAGTAGGTATCGATATGATACAAATTTCGAATGAGAATGTCGTATTTTCCTACCGTTTCGTACAAACTTCACAGGTGTCACTCGGCAGTAAAGGTTTAGCATGGGTATAAACTGATAGAAACTTGGCGTACGTAACAAAAATATAGCTCACTTTACTCCTCCTAGAATTTGTTTTTTAGAATATCTAGCTATATTCAGTTTTCTTACACTTAAGACGGCTAAGTATTGTGCAAAAATAACAATTTCATAGTAGATCTTAATTACTATAAAAAGTCTGTAAGCGGAGCTGTCAAGGCCGGTGAGGTGTGGGTCGAGGCAGATGTTGGTTTGGCACTTGCTCGGCAGAAGGTTGAAGTGACAGTGAGAAATATATTCAAAGGAGTTTTAGTTGGATTCTACATGCACACTACACAATAACCTGAAAAGACACGCGCCTACACTCAATCTAATTGGTCCCAATAGTGAAACCAAGTCAAAATGTCGTACGTCGACTCGACACTTGCGTAAAGGTCCTTGGGGGTCTGGCTTCCGGTCACCTGCCGTTGGCTGGCTCTTACATCAATGTCCAACACTCCTCCCCAGAGCCTCGGGGTTCCGTGAATCACTCGATGTCGACGAGTCCGATCTTCTCCCGT